AACCCCACAGCAGTGTTTTCAACCTTCTGTAAGAGTCTAAAGCTGGTTATTTCCAAGTGGAGGGATAAAAAGAAAAACTATTCATAATAAAAAATTATGGGAAGAAAACTTAGAGAAATTGTCCAGATATAGATGAGCAATTCCTGCTTATAAATGTCAGAATTTCTGTTCACGAGTTCTTCCTGCTTTAATGCGTGGGAGTTGAGTGGTGAATTCGTTCCTACATTTGCTCACTGCTCATTGACCACCACGGTGGACACTGACCAAGGCACTGACCAAGCACTGCAGACACAGAGGTAAAGACAGATGCCCTCCTTAGACAGCTCAGAGTTTGGAGGGAGGATAAGTATCACATGACCTCCACATATGAGTGAGGTCATGTGATACTTATCTTTCTCTGACTGACTTACTTCTCTTAGCATGATACTCTTGCTAGATTCATTTATTAAGTTTAATAGTTTTTTGGAAGAGTCTTTAGGGTTTTCTATGTACAGTATCATGTCATCTGCAAATAATTGATCTTGGGTCAAATGTCAGTTCCATATTTAATTTTTTGAAGAGACTTCATACTGTTTCTAAAATGGCTGAATTCCCGCCAGCAGTGAACTAGGCTTCCTTTTCTCCACATCCTCGCCAGCACTTGTCCTTGATTGACTTGTTGATGGTACCCATTCTGACAGGAGTGAGGTGATATCTCTTTGTCATTTTAATTTGTATCTCTCTGATAATCAGTGACTTTGAGCATTTTTTCATGTCTCTTGGCCATCTGTATGTCCACTTTGGAGAAGTATCTATTTGGTCCTTTGCCCATTTTTAAAAATATATATTCTTAATATATTTTTAATGATTTCAGAGAGGAAGGGAGAGTGAGAGAGATAGAAACATCAATGATGAGACAGAATCATTGATTGGCTGCCTCCTACATACCCCCTAGTGGGGATTGAGCCCACAACCCAGGCATATGCCCTTGAATCAAACCCAAGATTTTCAGTCTATAGATCACTGCTCTATCCACTAAGCAAAACTGGCTAGGACTGCCCATTTTTTAATTGGATTGTTTGTCTTCCTTCTATTAAGTTGTATGAATTCCATATACATTTTGGATATTAACTCTTTATCAGATGTATCATTGCCAAATATGTTTTCCCATACAGTGGGCTCCCTTTTCATTTTGTTGACAGGTTCTTTAGCTGTGTAGAAGTTTTTTATTTTGATGTAGTTCCATTTATTTATTTTCTACTTAGTTTCCTTTGCCATTGGAGATGTATCTGTAAACATATTTCTATGAGACATGTCTGAGGTTTTGCTGCCTGTGGTTTCTTCTAGGATTTTTATGGGTCCCAACTTACATTTAAGTCTTTTATCCATTTTAAGTTTATTCTTATATATATTGTAAGTTGGTGTTCTAGTTTCATGTTTTTGGATATATCTGTCTAGTTTTATCAATAGGAGACTGTCTTTACTCCATTGTATGCTCTTGCCTCCTTTACCAAATATTAATTGAGCATAATGGCTTGGGTCAATTTCTGGGGTCTCTGTTCTATTCCATAGATCTATATGCCTGTACTTGGGCCAATACTAGGCTGTTTTGATTACAGTGGCTTTGGAGTACAACATGATATTGTGATCCCTCCCAACTTTCCTCTTCTTTCTCAAGATTGCTGCAGTTATTTGGTGTCTTTTTTGAATCCATATAAATTTTTGGAGTATTTGATCTAGCTCTGTGAAATATGCCATTGGCATTTTAATGGGGATTGCATTGAATCTGTAAATTGCCTTAGGTTATATGGACATTTTAATGATGTTAATTCTACCAACCCATGAAGTACAGTAGTTTTTTGGTGGAGTCTTTAGGGTTTTCTATGAATAATGAGTTTTACTTTCTGCTTTGCAATTTGGATGCCTTTCTTTTTTCTTCCTGTCTGATCACTAGAGTTAGGACTTCCAGCATTATGTCGAACAGGAGTGGTGAAAGTGGGCATCCCTGTCTTGTTCCTGTTCTTAAGGGAAATTGTTTTAGTTTTTGACGATTGAGTATGATATGACTATATGACCTTTATCATGCTGCAGTATGATCCCTTTATTCCCACTTTGCTGAGAGTTTTCAATAAAAAAAGGGTATTGGATTTTGTTGAATGCTTTTACTGCATCAATTGATATGATCATGTGATTTTTGTCTTTCAATTTGTTTATGTGATTGCTGTACCTTTACAGCAAGTTCAGGATGACTTTTAGGAGGACCATCAACATAAGAAATATGAATTTTGAAGGCATGGGGAGTGTCTTTTTGTGAAGACACTCACAAGACTGGATCCCATCTACTTTTATTCACTTTGAATACACATTTGTCCTTGAGCAATGCATACAGACAGAACAAAGGTATAGTCTACTATACAATGTAAAGATTATCAGATCAGGAAATCGCCTAGAACCATGGCAATCACAGCAGGAGCAATCTTGTGTTGATTCCAGCCAAGGTCCATTGGCCTTCCAATGTCAGGTACCTGGCTTCCAGTCCATCTCAAGTTCCTTGTGACCCAAACAACCAGTCACCTTCTTTAAGAGACATATTATCTAACTGGGAGGTGAGGGTGGCTCTCCTGGGCAGGGCAGGGCTCATGCATAGTAAGTCTAGAGGTGTGGGTGCTGGTGCAGAAGGCCAAGGTCCATTGGCCTTCCAATGTCTCTTTTGCACTTTTATGCTAAATGCTGTTATGCTTTGGCCTCCGGCATGTGATATATCACATTTACTAATTTGCGGATATTGTACCAGCCTTTCATACCTGAAATAAATCCCACTTGGTCATGATTTTATTTTTTTAATATATTGCTAGATCTGATTTGCTAATATTTTGTTGAGGATTTTAGCATCTGTGTTCATCAGGGATATTGGCCTGTACTTCTCTTTCTTTGTGGTGTCTTTAGCCGGTTGTAGAATTAAGATAATGCTGACCTCATAAAAAGAGATTGGAAGTGTTCCTTCCTCTTGGATTTTTTTGGAATAGATTGGGAGGGGTGGGGGGAGATAGGTGTATTTGTTCACTTTCCTTGGAATTGCTATGTCCTCTTTCCAAATACATCACATTCTGAAATGCCAGAGGTGAGCACTTCAATAAGTGAATTGGGGGGAGGGCACAACGCAACCCATAGCACCACCTTCTCTCCTCTCTCTCATCTCCTGGCACCTCCCATTGGTGGGACCCATCTAGAGAGGAAAGGAGCTGGTTGATGTGAACCATAAAATGAGCCTCCAGGGGCCAGGCAGGGTGCAGAGTAGACGTGGGTGGGCAGAGAAGCTGCCAGTAGACCCTGTGTGGCTTTCCTTCAGGGCAGGAGCTCTGCACCAGCACCCACACCTCTAGACTTACTATGCATGAGCCCTGCCCTGCCCAGGAGAGCCACCCTCACCTCCCAGTTAGATAATATGTCTCTTAAAGAAGGTGACTGGTTGTTTGGGTCACAAGGAACTTGAGATGGACTGGAAGCCAGGTACCTGCTGCACCACTGAAAGCCCAGCCTTCTCTCCATGACTCCAGGCCGTGTCCCTGGTTTCCAAGGCTCTCTGTTACCAGGGACTGTATCCAGCTGCATGGAGGAAACTCAAGGCCTAGGAATAGCCTGGTTGAAGCTCATATCTCCCTGTGTGTCAAGATGTCCAGAGCAGGCCAGGCCCTTGGCTCCCGGAAGTCCTCAAAGGCCAGGATCCAAACTCAGTGCTCCCCGTCTTCAACTGGCAGCTCCCCATCTTCGGCAGGTGGCTCCCCATCTTCGGCAGGCGGCTTTGGCCACTGCACACCCAGCTCTGCACCTGTGATCTAGGCTGAAAGTAGAGGAGACTCCCGGGAGGGGCAGGGGTGGGGGGTGGGGGGGGCCAGAAATGAAGAGCAGAACTTGCTCAGAAACCACAGGGCACGGCCACTCCTATCTCATCAGCAGAACTGTGTTCCTTTTCTGGTGGGAGGCAGGGACATGTCGTTTGTGTCCTGGGCTGAGTCAGGCTCCTTAGTCCGGAGGAAGTAGCGAGCGGCTCTGGGTGCGCAGCAGGCAGGGTCGGCTGCACCAGCCAGTGTGCCTGTGGATGCGCCTCCCCATTTGAAAGTGAATCTAGACCTGGAGTAATCTGTTCTGAGGATTTGAGTGAACTGGGGGGAAGCAATAACTAATTATTCCAATTTAAATAAATCCTGAGAATGGTCTAAAGCCCTGGTTGGCAAACTGCGGCTTGCGAGTCACATCTGGCTCTTTGGCCCCTTGAGTTTTTAGCAAAGGCCAGTTTAGGAGGGCCCTAATTAAGTTAACAACAATGTACTTACCTATATAGTTTAAGTTTAAAAAATTTGGCTCTCATAATGTTACAGAGTTCCCGAACAATCAAATAATGCAGGAGGAGAGTTTGGAGAGACTTACTTTATTCATCGTGCAATGGGCTCAGAGAAAATGAATTCAAATTCTAAGCAAAGGTACAAGCAGAGCTTCCCTTTTTATAAAGGAGCCAGCTCTCTGTTTAATTAGTGGTTATTCGCTGCTGTCCTTGAAAACAAACACAGCTAAATGTATGGGCATACCTAGTCTTGACCTGTAAGGTCAGACAGCTAATTTTATGATCCTCATTTTACAAGCAGGCTAAAGCAAACATTTTTAGAAACAGTAGAAAATTCCAAACAGCAATTTTTTACAAAATAGGGGTTTTCCTTCTCAATAAGAAATTTCAATTGTTGTACTGCCGGTATTTGGCTCTGCTGACTAATGAGTTTGCCGACCACTGGCCTAAAGCAAGTAATAAGCTCCCTGCTGTGGGCCTGCCTCGCATTAGCACTGCTGTTGATCTGGCTTGTCCGGAGGACAGGAGATGTGTTCAGGATTCTTGCTGCTGTGCTCATGAGCTACGTGGAGGACGCGTGCATGTGTCCTGGGGCACAGCAACCAGTTAGCCTCTCTTCCTTTGTCCTGCTTCGACATGTGAGCAAAGAATGTAACTTAATTCTTTCTTCTCTCTTTAGAGGAAAAGGACCAAGTTCATTGCCTGTGATTTTCTGACTGAGTGGTTATACAAGTAAGTTTTTCATGAATATTCGGTGATCTTAAAGATTCAATAATGTTGCTTTGCAAGCAGGATAGCGACAATTGACTTGAATTCTTCCTTATTGTTTTCTTGTCAATCAAACATGACATCATGACCAGCCAAAATCCAAAGAGGATAGGGGAGCCGTTCACAGATTTCTTCTCCATTCCCTTCGTGGAGCAATGGCTGAAGCAACAGTAAGTGCTCACAGAGGTTTGAATAATTTATCCCTGATTTAAAAATTGTTAATTTTCTCCACTAAGAGAACTAACTCATGTAACCACCGGGGCCCCAGGTCAGTTACATCTGTGGCTCTCACCTCTCATTGTTTTCAGTGTAGGCTCAAGGCATGTACCCATGCAGTGATTATTCCAGAAACACTTGAGAAACAAAATAGAAAACTTTAGACAACTCTTATCCTAAATAACCCATCTCTCCATCCTCGCCCTCTCCCTTCCTCCCTTGCTTCCCTCTCCCTTCCCCTTCCTTGAAGGTCATTATGTCTCAGGAAATAGGACTGAAGTTTTCTAATTATTAATTTTTAGTTATATGCATCGGTTCTACATTCAAACCACTAGGACATGACAAATAAGATTAAAACTCTCTTTGACTATCTTTCTAATGTGAGTCTTCTCACAGAAATAATCAGTTTGGTCGATAGTACACCTTCCAGAGCTCTTAAAATTAGTTATGAACCCTATGAAGTTGAGCTTTAGCATATGAAATTAGTAATACTACTTATGTGGGCTGTTTTCATCAGTGACATAGCAACAAAACCAACTGAGCATCTGTGTCAGCATTCTGGCTTCATAAAAATTAAAATGGTACTAATGTAACTCAGTAAAATACATCCTTACTGAATACCTGCCAGGTGTCTGCATACAGTAGGTGCTGTCGCCTTGGGCTGAGAGGCATGCTTACACTGGAGGGAGTCCATGGGGAGGACTCTGATTGAGATGGTGGCAAAGCACTGTGGGAGACGGACTGTCCTGGGGGACTGGCGCTGGCCTAGGTGGGGCAGTGGCCAAGCTGGTTCTGAGAGGCAAGATCTCAAGTGTGATCTCCTTCCTGAGTTTGCCCTGGACAGGAAGAGTCCCAGGCAGACAGGGGCCAAGGTCCTCAGGGGAATGAGGGCATGAGCCAGGAAACTCTCTGGTCCCCGTTTCCCAGCCTCGTGCTATTGACCGCAGGGCAGCTAGGCTGCACTCACCTTGGAGATGGCTGAGGCCAGATAGTGGGAAGGCAGGCCTTCCTGTGGTCATGCCCGGAGCTCAGATGTCACACAGGAAAACGGCCCCTGGGTCATGGGGAGAGGAGCAGATGTGGCCCCAAGTGAGATGCCTCCTGGCATTGGGAATGCCTGGGACACCTTACCAAGATCTGGTTCTGAGTGTGCACAACCCACCAGCCAGTTCCCTTCTATCATCTCGCTCTCCCTCCCCACGCTCCTTCACAACCCAGCTCTCAGCCACAGTGGAAGGAGGGTTGCTGTGGTCGGAACCTTGGGCTGGCTGTAAAGCATGGCTCCAATGATCTCAGAGGTCCTAGCGAAGGGGCATAGCTTTTTAGATGGGTCTTTCTGTGGAAGATTGTAAATCTTTTAGGATTTGAAGGCCACTATGGTCTCTGTTGCAGTTGCTCAGCTTCGCCATTATAGCACAAAACCCACAGAGAGAACATGGGGACAAATGGACGTGGCTTTGTTCCAATCCATCTTTATTCACAAACGCTGATTTGGCCCAGGGGCTGTAGTTTGGTGCTCTCTGCCCTATGGGGACACCAATAACCTTCCCACCCATAGTCTCACGCAAGGGCAGTTGATAGAAGTAGAAGTGAGTAGTTGGGGAAGGTGGAAGGCTGCAGAAAGTTATGATTAGGGCAGGAATGTGGGAAGTCGAGATGTGATGGTCTCCATGACAACCCATTCTGAGTGGTAACTGTTCCATCGAGCAGCAGACATGAGGGAAGATGGGATGTGGAATGGTGTGGATTTGGAGCCATGGTGCTGGAGGTGTCCTCGGTGTGAATATGAAGTGTCTGGGGGCTGTGGGTGGGTGGGGGGTTGAAGAAGATGACAGCATGTCAACTTCTGAAGCCATCCAAGAGGTTTAAGAATGTCGCAGAAGTCTGAGGAGTGTGCATGGCCCCTTCTTCCTGGCAATGAGTTTTAGGGACAGTTGGGTTGTAGTGTATGTGCACTTTGTGCTAATTCAGGGCTATGCTCTAGGGAGATAAAGAGAGAAAAATTTTGTAAAATGCAAGCAATTCTATTCTGGAGGTGAATAGAATGGCTTGCATTTTACTTTAGGACACAAAACTCAGATTTTCCCTTCACTGTTCTCAGAGCAGCTCATAAAGCAACTACTGCCTTATGTCTGTCCCTGGTCACCTACTCAGTCACCTGCTAAGCACTGATATAACATTTAGTCAAGTACAGTTCTGAACACTTTATAAATGTCATCTAATTCAGCTTGTATTACAACCCGAGAAGGCGGAAATGTTACTGTCCGCATTGTATCAGGCTAGCTGAGGCTAGGTTGTAGTTACAACACTACCAAAATACCAGCGGCTCAACCCAGTAACAGCGTATGTGTTGCTCCTACAATGACTGGTCCAGGTTGGACAGCCCTCTTATAAATTATAATATTTGGAATATGGGATCTGTGAGGTCACTGAAATGGAGGAGGCGCCCAGTTCTCAACCTTCTCACCTCCCCTTACTGTCCCTCCTCCCATGGCCCCAAACCAACTGCAGGGGAGGCCCCGGGAATCTCTGTGCTCGTTGGTACGGTGACAGCCACACTTCTGGGAAAGAGCTGAAGCCCAAGCCACATTGAAGAACGAGCAGAGGAGGGAATGAGGAAGCCTGGCTTCAGACCGCACTCTGACAGATGTGGCTAATTACGGCTCCTTGGGGTGTTTTGTACCAAAACGGGAGGAAGCTGCCCTGTGAGGCTGACCAACAGATGCTGTATCTTATGGATAATGTAAGGATGGTGAGGGTAGACTCTGACTGATGTGATTTTTATCGTACATCCTTATTTTAGAGTAACTCCAAGTAAGTGCAAATCCCCTTTAGATAAGGAGTGTGCAGGCACCTGGTGCCTCGGACATTCCTGCCTACCTGCCAGGGCGCCGTGGAAACTGAGTGTAGTCTCCTCTGAATGTTCTGGGTCAGACAGACTGTGCAGCTGCCTTCAGTGCTTGGTGTCATGTGCTGTCAGGTCACGGCTGGGGGCTGTGACTATTTGTCAGGGGGTGGCTGCTGATTGCTTGTCACAGAAATGGTGGGCTCTTCTCAGAAAGTTTCCCCATAATTTGACATCTCGCCACTCTGTCCATCCCTTCTCACTTAACCATTTATTTTCCATGACTTAGAAAAAAAAAACCAAAAAACAAAAAAACCACTTCATTTTTATGTAGCCAAGGATATTGACAACCCTTTAAGAAGTCTCTTAGGTTTATAATAATAACTTAATATTAGCATATATAAAGTACATATATCTGTTAAATAAACTGTGCAGAGAAAAGGAAATGTTTAAAATCAAGACTAGTCATAAAATTAAGTCTAGTCCTCCCAAAGGATGTTTGACTCCAAACAGCAGGAATGTTTATTCCCTTCACTGTGTAGTTTTTTTTTAGGTTTCCTATTATTCACAGAGTGACTTGAAGAATTAAAAACAATTACAAGCCCGGCCAACATGGCTCAGTGGTTAAGTATCAACCTATGAACCCTGACGTTATGGTTCAATTTCTAGTCAGGGCACATACCTGAGTTTTGGCCTGATCCCCAGTAGGAGGCGCACAGGAGGCAGATGATCCATGATTCTCTCATCATTGATCTTTCTCTCTCTGAAATCAATAAAAAATTATTTTTAAAAATAATAATCACAAAACTAAAGGGTGTTTATCCTGTTTCTTTTCATTTTCTGTCTGCGATAGCCGTTTGTTTTCTCTGGCCCTGAATAGATTCACCTCTGTTGGCTGCAGCACTTCTTATATTCCTGGGGGTCACCATCCTCATTCTCTGCTCCTAGACAGTGAGCCAGCTGACCCCTTCTGGGCTCTGCACTGGGCTGCTGTGTAGCCTGGCACCCCAGCAGTGACTCCATCTCCACCAGCGTTACTCCACACTAGCGCAGTCAGAGAGTCTAGAGATTTCTCAAGAAGAAGGAAAAATTTCTCTCTTTTCCTCTAAACATGGAGCTTTGGAGAGGATCCAAGATGGCTGCACAGGCAAACACTTAACCGCAGCCGCACACAACAATTTCAATAAAATACAACTAAAATATAAACTGGACATTACCCAGAACTAGAGGAAAGTCGACTGACTGGAAATTCTACAATGAGAAGCAAGGAGAAAACCAGAAGGAAGCGCGGGGGAGCTGGAAAAGCCCAAGGTACGGAGACATGCGGCGCACATGGAGAGGACAGAGCCGGAGAGGAGGGGCGGCTGAGTGCCTGGCTGGCGTTCCCTAGCGGGAAGGAGATAAAAACTCCGACTGTGCTGAATCCCAGACCCAACAGCACTGAACCCCAGTTCTAGGCCAGACCCTGGGGACCCAGGCTCAAACAGAGGGAGCCTGGGCTGTGAGGCAGAATTCCAGGTGAGCGGCGAAAGGCAGAGCCCCTGGAGGTGCGCACATTGCGTGCAGAGAAGGGACGGTTGGCTATGTTGCGGGATTGCCCTGGCAGGAAGGAGACAGGGGCTCCAGACTGCTCTGAACGCCACCTCCAATCCCACTTCCAACTGAACTGAACCCCAGTTTCAGGCCCATTGGGGGAGAGACTAGACTGTTTGGTAGCAGGTGAAACTCGAGGGCACCTCACTCTCAGGGGTGCTTGCAGCGAGTACTGAAGGACCCTGAGGAATACTGAGACTCAGGAGCCACACAGGACGTGGCTGACAGAAGCCAAGGCTGTTGGTTCCCCCCTGAAACTCTGCCCCATCAGAGAAGCTGCGAAAATGCCGAGACAAGGAAATAGATCACAAACGAAAGAAATGGAGGACAAAAAGCAACTGGATATAGAGTTCAAAATCACAGTTATAAGGTTGTTCAAGAATCTCCTAGAAAAGGCTGATAAAATAAAGGAGACTTATGAAGATATGAAAAGGGATCAACTAGTAATAATAAGGGATCAACAAGAAATAATAAGAGGTCAACAAGAAATAAAGAATACATTGTCTAAAATAAAAA